CTGGCCTTAGGATTTAATTAGGATGACACTATGAGCAAATTAGGAGTGCAGTAAATTATCTCAAAGAATGAAGAACTTGATTACCTTTTTTACATGACTGCAAATACAGGGATATTTTCTGCAGACTTGTTCGTTAGATGGGTTTTGGCTGTTGTCCAAAGACCAGAGGCACACCTTTCTGCAATTTAAATTATGTTGCTTCAGGAAGAATGCAATGCTTGTAAATGGAATTAAATTATTGGTCCTGCCTGGCAAGAAATAAGACCCCGTGAAAATGTTTTCATTAAACAGCAAGGATTTTTCCTTCAATTAGGCAGGGCAGGGAGTGAATAAACAGGAGGGAATGGCTCCTTACCATGTGATGTGTGATCATGTGTCATGTGAGCGCCATAATTGTACTCAGGAGTCCTGTTAATAAATATATTTCAAAAGTCATTCAAATTGTATGTCTGAAAATAGTTGACTCTGTACTTGCTCCTACTGATGGAAAGCCAGGCTGTGTAAATTTTGATGATGCTCTTGGGCCTGTAGTGATACAACACTGCATATTCTGTGGTGCCTGGAGGGCCCCAAGACCACTGGGAGAGTGGGGAACACTGAAAAGTAGCAGACCAAAGGTGATGGCATACAAAGGCCATGGGAGACAGTGGACGGAGCAGGGGTGGCTGGTGTATGTGGCCGTAGTCCATAGAGAGGGGATGCCTTTATGGCTAAGGTATACTGGGGCCACAGGCTCCGGTGGTGGGCCCAGTTATTAGGCTGGGGTCTTAAAGGGAAGATTCTGTGGAGCTGGACATCTCTGGGCTGAGCATTCCCCATTGCAGACTGTACCTATGACTGCTAGCAATAAACCCATGGATTGCACTGTCCCTTGTAAGTGTCATCTTTGAGGGAGAAGGATGGAACCCCGCCCATGCCCTGCCCATGCCCAGCCTTTGTTCAAGTGCTGGCCTTTCAAGTCCCATATTCCATACTTTCAAGACCCATACTTTCAAGACCCATACTTTCAAGTCCCATACAGAGCCAGTTTGGTGTAGTGGTTAAGTGCACAGACTCTAATCTGGGAGAACTGAGTTTGATTCCCCACTCCTCCACTTACAGCTGCTGAATGACCTTGGGCAAGCCATAGTTCTGTAAGAGCTGTTGTCTCAAGGGCTCTCTCAGCCCCACCTACCTCACAGGCTGTCTGTTATGGGTAGGGGAAGGGAAAGGAGTTTGTAAGCTACTCTGAGTGAAGGGCAGGGTATAAATCCAATCTCTTCCTCCTCTCCTCCACTGCCCTCCCCAAGGCCCCAGGTCACATAGTCCCTTTACCGACATTCTCATAATGGTCTAAATAATGTGCCGTTATTATGGATGGGGAAGGCTGAGTATCGTCATTTCCCCAAATCATTATTATCTTGTGAAAAGTTTGTAATTAATTATTATATGCTATCAGGGTAATGGCCAAGATGATTATTATATCAGTATACAACTTGAGAGTGATGTGTCTTCTTTCCTTATTATGTGTGAACCTGCCATTCAACAAGTTTGCCACATCCAGCTGTCTCCAGGAGAGTAGCTTGTGTATGATATAAACATTTGCTTTGGTAGAAATGTTATTGATGGAGTTTGAAATTGGGGGAGGGAAGCTATTAAAGTCTTGGATTTTGTTTCCTGCTGTGAGAGAGCACAACTGTTTTGATATGGCAACAGCAATGTACTTCCCACTGAATTAAAAAAATAAAATACCACTGGTATGGGAACCATCATTCTTGTCATTAGCTTGTGGGGTTCTGGCAGATCACTAAACTCTGATGGGTAAAAAGGAAAGAAAACACATTCCTTTGAACACTAGGTTTTATTTTTGAGCTCTACAAAGGAAACTGCAAAACAAACAACAGATTACCAGATGGGCCTGTATATCAACAATAATGAAACAGTCTGAGCTCAAGGTTAAAGATATTAGGATATGAGTATTTGCTACAGTCATCTGTCTCCAAAGCCATTCCTTCAGGGACACTATTGTGAGGCAGAGCTGCATTTAAATACAGTACACCCAGTCTAGAACTCACACAGCTTCTATATACACCCTTCAGCATTCCTTTTTAGTGGGGGGGACATGTGCATTTCTGTGCACTCCATGGAGCACCATGTGGGCACTGGAGCGCCTGAAACTTCAAGGTGTTAAGTTACTAGAATGAAACCTTCAGACAGTTTCTGTAATTTTCTTTATGTATTATGTTCTTTCTGACACCTCCTATATCTAATTCTGAACATGGCCATAGATACAGAACGTTAAACCCATAGGTTAGGTTTATGAAGAGAGCTGTCTACAAACTTGGAGAATGACCCAGGTTTGCAGAAAAACCTCAAACTTATAAAAAATGGAGGGTTCCCCCCAAAAAACCCCAAAGTGGAGAAGAGTTGTCTGTGCAAATGCAGATAATGTAGTCCTGTTTTCACCCACGATAAACATACAGGTGTAGGGCTGGCTGCCCCCACACTGGGTGACCCTGGACTGAGCACAGATCCATTCACTGTTCTCATGGCAGAAGCAGGTGATGGAGGGCCATGCCTGGCCTGGCCTGGCCTGGATGGTTACACATGGGAGACCCTGGGGGAGGGGAGGGAGGAGGAGCTACCTCCCCCTGCTGTCTCATGAGCCAGGTGAGCAAAGGCAGCAGCACTGCGGGCAGGCAGGAGAACAGGAGCTACTTCCCCCCCCCCATTGTGAGCCAAGCAGACAAGCGGTGAGCAGCCCAGAGGCTGAGCAGATGTGTAGAAAAGGATGGTATCTCTGCACTCACAAATCTTGCCGATCCCCTACTTGTAGTACATTAATTATATGCATTTTACAACTTGTAAACATCAGGGCATTTGCGCATGTCTTTATAACACTATTGTCTCCCTGGAAAAGCTTTTACAAGAGGAGAAATTGTGAAGTGTTCAAAAGCAGTGCTTTCTCTTTGAAACCATCGTAATCTCTTGAAAAACTATGTGTCTTTAGGCTAGAGATTCTCTTGATGACAGGACCTGTGGGGTTTAACTAGCTGGTATGTTTAGGCTTACAACTTTCTTGTTCCCAAGTAAATTGCAGAGTAGTAGCCTTATTCAGTTCTTTAATTTCTTGTGCAGTACTATAATTATGATCAAGCTTTAAAAACAGGAAGATTAGGAGGCCCAGACTGTTTTCAGTCAGCTGTTTAGCTATTTATTTAGAAGTGATTTACTTGTGTGAACAATGTAACTTGTGAGGAGGGAACCAGACACTATTAAGAAAACATCTTCAGCGAACAGGGGATGATATCTTGACTCTCAGATGTTTCTGCTGGGGTGTTGTGTGAGTTCCCTCCTCCCAATTTGCACTACTTATGTGAATAGACCACTCATGTGAGCTGCTAATTAGTCCTGAGGCAAAGAGAAGAAGAGATGCTAGAATGTTCTGTTTCTTTACGTCAAATACAGTGGTGACAAGATCAACGCACCCTCAAAACAAAACTCAGCATAGTGTTCCTTTGGCTTTTTCAAAGCTAGATATCAGCTTCTGGCAGTCAATATTTTTGTTTATCATATATGGACTACCCAGAGCCTTCTGAGGGGCTTTGTAAGGAATTTAATTCACTTAAGAAAGTAAGAGGACTTTGGAAATACGATCAGAAAGAAGGAAGCCACTGGGGACCTGCCTCAGGAAGTGAAACATATGACTTGTTCAAATAAGTGTTTACTGACTCCTGCAAGTGATAGCTGTAGACCCCATACATATCCTGATAAATGTATCTTCACAGGTTAAGGAAATACCCTTTACACTGTCAGAAAAAAATGAAGACCAATAGGAGTTCTGTTTTCACATCTGTTCTGGGATCCCTGATTTCCTAAGGGGTGATCCCCATCTTGAGAACCCTCAAAACTCTTGACGACTGACATATTTTAGCTGCCGGCCAAAATGTACCTCTGATCTTCTGAGACAAATGAGGTGCAGAAGGGCATGGACTGACCAAGACTACAAGATGCAAAATCACCCCACTGTCTTCCGCAAGTGGAGAGCTGTCTCTTCTGACTTCCTCCACAGATGGAAGGGGAACGGTGGGCTATTTTGCTCGGCAACTCTTCTTCACTTCAGCTCCCTCTGCCTTGGGGCACTTTGTTCATAAGGGGTCTCTGATCCTCACCATCACTTTTTTGGGCATCACAGAGAGCTGCCAAAGGGAGGAGATCAATGCTCCCTCTAAGCTGTGGAGTCTTGTGAGCCACAATTCTACTTTGTGAGCCACTGGCATTAAAGTTGTGAGCAAGTGATTTGGCTACTGCATAAATTAGTTTGCTTTGGAGCCCTCCTTCCTGAGCTAAGACAAAAATGTGTGAGCTGGAAGCTAAAAAACTGTGAGCTAGCTCACACTAACTCATCTTAGAGGGAACACTGGTGGAGCTCTGCCCTATACCTCATTTATAGGATGCAACCCATTGAACTGAGAGCACCTGGGACCAGTTCATAGAATACATTGTCCACACATGAAATCCCAGTAGAGTCAAGCAAGTAAAGCAATTATTGATAAAAATTATAGGAATTGCTGCTGACTGCAATTATGATTATTCTGTTCAGACACTATGGTAGTGGAAAGTGCTGTTGAGTCACAGCTGACTCATGGGGACCCCGTAGGGTTTCCAAGGCAAGAGACGTTCAGAGGTGGTTTGCCATTGCCCGCCTCTGCATCATGCCTCTGTTACTCCTTGGAGGCCTTCCATCCAAATACTGATCAGGGCCGACCCTGCTTAGCTTCTGAGATCTGACGAGATGGGGCGAGCCTGAGCTATCCAGGTCAGGGCTTTATGTATTATAATGGTCTTTGAAATCCTGTGCCTGAAATTTGGGATGGAAACCAAACTGAGTGAATCAGTTCTAGGAACTCTGGTTACCTCATGCAAATAATGCTATTGCCCAACATTCTTTTATACACCCCTGGTGGGAGGACATTCCTGATGCTTCCCAGTGATTTTGTCCTTTTGTTTCTCCTTTGTAGGCCTTGTGATGAGCAACATCCCCAAGTGAAGGCAGATGGTTATGTGGACAACCTGGCAGAAGCAGTGGAGGTTATTCTAAAGCAACTGCACAAGTAAACTGGATCTCAGAAGACGAGTGATCAGAAAGACGGCTGATTTTTTACTGTGTTCGTCTCCATTCAGTTCGCTTCCATATCATTACCCAGTTGTATGCAGTCACAATTAATTATGTAGCAAACAGTGGAACTGCCAGTGTGCCTCAGAAGCCTTTTAAAAAAAAAACACCTTGTAATTGCAAGTAACTGAAGTGAAATATTAACCGGAACAAAAGAAAAAGATGACGTCTAGTGCATACTTACGACACCTCAGAATCTTTTGAATCTTAATTATCTGTTTGGGGTATATAAAACCATCCCTTATCAGTGCTTAAACATCCATGCCCTGTACCAGTTGGGCTGAGATCTGGTTCCTGAGCTGGATTTTCCCCGTTTCCTTGGGAAAAAAGTTAACAGAGGTGTTGTCACTGTGTTAAAGCAGTGCAGATTAATGCAGAACAAGCCAATCCTTAGATCCTTGTATGTAGATACCAAGATTGTATTCTTTTCCCTCTGCTCTTATGGTTTCCTTCAGTTGGAAAAGCAGTATCCCAAGAGTGAAGACAGATTTAACATTTGTAGAGCAGCAGGGCCTCTTTCGAAGTGGCCTTATTACCCTAACTCCTACCGTACCTTCCTTCTCCAAGGCTGAGCAGAGGGGAGGGGGTGGAACTTGTAAGTCTGAAGCAAAAATCTAGTACCGAATGTCTAACAGCTGTCATTCTGTAACTTCTGCAAGAAATCTCTCTCCCAGCCCCAGGACATTTTTTTTCCCTTTAAAAAGGCATCAAACAAACGGACACATATATAAATGTACATAAAGAGATTTTGAAAAAAGACATTCTTGCCTGATGCATGAAGTAGGATGAGATGGACAGCTAGGCTAGGCCTGTCTTCGTTGGTATACACATCTGTCCTTTCAGTTGAGAATCTGGGCTCACCTTACATCCCAGAGACTCACTGTGGGCTCTCTTCTTTATTATGTCAGTCTTCACTCTAAAAGTAACGCTTGTTCTCAGATAACTGAATAAGTGGTTTTGGAGCTGCTCCAGGTACTAGTCTGGGACTATTTTTGTTTGGCGTGCCTCTGGCATGACCCTGGGAAGGAACTAGGCTGAGGTCACCAACCAGAACTTTTGAAGAAGGGAATTCTATATTTTTCCACAGATGCCATCCGGTCAATGACACAAATTCTGTTCACCTTTACTTTGAGAAATGCAGACATTTGTGTATGGCTTTCTTGTCTGGGTGGAGAGTTAGGCTTCCATGACTGGACTGCTGCTGTCTAATCACATTGTTTTGCTCTTCTAAGAATAGCCTTACAGATTGAGAACTATCTTATAGTGGCTGGAAGCCAACCTGAAAGTGGTGGTGTTGGGTTTCGCAATTTCAGAACTAAACAACCATGCCCTACTATGTACTCATTGCTCCAAAGTTGTCTTGTATTAGCAAGATAATAAATAATAAATACAACCGTTTAACAAACTTTAGCAACAGATTGCAATAACATCAGTCCTTTTTGCCATGTCATCCAGTTCTTGGCATGTTAAGCAAAAATCAACAGAAATTCTGAAGTAGAAAAGTGACTCTTCACCCCATTATGACATGTTAAGTGAAAATCAACAGAAATGCTGAAGTAGAAAAGTGACTCTTCACCCCACACTCACAGACACATAGACTGAAATCACAGGTGCATGGTAAAGCGTAGGAACACTGAAATGCAGTTGTGAAACCAACTTCCTGCACCATCATCAAATGATTCAGAATCCTATTACAAGAAATTTAGAGATTGCCTTTTCTGTCTTTCATACAGAAAGTCCATCAACGAATGACTAAAAATCACAGTTCCATGTACAAATTCTGCCCTAGATGCATGCACACAGTATCAAAGGAATCATCTAGACTACATGTGGTGCTGGGAATGTGCCTGGATCATTCATGCATTAAAAAAAAAAAACCAAGCAGGGCCCTGATTCAGATTAGAGGACCATGTGGGAAAGGAGAAATGGATTATTTATTCAACCTCTGCTTTCCTGACCTGAAATGGACTCTTGAGGAGTTACTGTTTGTGTCATTGGGGAAACTGTGCAGGCACTCTGCATATGTTGCTTGTATATTTGCTTCATGAGGCAAATAGCAGCTCTGTGGGCCATTTCAGGTCAGGAAAATGACACAAGGATTAACAGCTTCTTCCCACGCACACACACGCACACCAGTCCTAGTTAAAACTGGGAATCCATGTACCTGTTATTTTAGAAGGAAAAGAATACATGGAACCACCAATATTTGGTATCGATCCTGAGGTGGTATACCTGTAGCCCTGTTCACAGGTTACAGTGAACACATATACAGTGCATGTACAGGGCACACTTGATTATTTTTTACACATGCAGTGAGCACTTCTCATGTTATACTCAATGCACGTACACCCAAACATGTGATACAAACCCCGCATTTATCCAGGTACAGGACCCTGGTTTCAATTACAAAGTGAACACATGTTGGATTTTTCTTTTTTCTTTTTTACAAACAGATGAATGTGCTTTCACTGTAATTATTTACAAATAGTCCATTACCTCATTCCAGCATTTGGAGTTCTCCCTCTATATTATCCGCCACACAGGAGGATGCTTGACGTGCAGAAGGTCTAGGATTTAATCCCCAGCCTCTTCAGTTAAAAAAAAAGATTAGGTGGTAGGTAATGTGAAAAACCTCTAACTGAGACTCTGGAGAGCTGCTGCCAGTGTGAGAAGACAATGCTGACTTTGATGGACAAAAGGTTTGATTCGGTATAAGGCAGCTTCATGTGTTCATGTGCAGTCAAAGTGGCAAGATGGTCTAAGTGGTTAAGAGAGCCTCTTCCTTGTGTCCAGGGGTTGTATAATCCTGCCATCTCCATACCCTCTTTCTTTACCTGTCCCAGAAGGAAGAACTCTTCTTGCCTTTTGGTCTCCCAAGCCCTGTAGCTTTAGGTGTAACTATTGGCAAGGTGTGATGTTGCCTATTGTCCTTCTCCTGGCTAGACCCATTTGCATTTATATGGTACCGGATAGCTTCATGCTTGGCATGTAAGTCATGTATACCCCTTTTTTCTCCTTCCCTCCTGCTAGGCAGTAAATGGCACTTTGTAACCTCTGAGCCTGTATAGAATGGTAGACCTCGTCATGAGAACCTTTATACACATTTTGGAATGTGTGGATTCTGTGTTGTGATGCATTTAACCATATCACAATGTTGCATTCTACACACGTACAACTGAATATGTGACCAAAACCACACATTTATCCAGGTAATAGCCTGTGATTTCATTTGTAAAGTGAACGCAGGTATGCTCTTTCTAACAAGCAAATGTATGTATGTTCATGCAGGATGTACATGCACTCATTGTAACATGTGAACAGGGCTTGTGTATGGGTTATTCTGCTTTCTGACTGGTGGATTGATCAATCGATTGATTGTTAAATATTCAGGACCATTAATTCATGTGAACCTGCATTGGTGCAAGGAGCTCCAGCTCAGACACTAGTTTGTCACTTCAGCGAAAACTAGATCTGTGCAGAAGCATTAGTGATTTGTAGGCAGCACCCAAGTCTTAAGGCATCTGTCATGCGCACTGAACCCAGGGCAGCACTCTCCTTCTTAAAGGGAAGATACCATTTTTAAGTTGAGCTGTGAATACTTTCTGCAGAAAGTATTTCCATCGTATCCCTTGTTGCACATAATTGTGGAGTATCTTTGTGCTGAATCTCTAGAGTTTAACTCTGGGTTCAGATTTTCAGCCATAATGATCCCTAAATTATTTGTGACAGTTCTTTATCTGTTGGTTTGTGCCACATCACTCCCCCACATCTCTGAAGACAAGATGCTCTTCTTTCTTACTGTAGAATATAGAAAGATAATTGAAAACAGTTGCCTATCCACAAAGACATGGCTGACGCGGGCCTATCCAGACTAAGATCCCAGCACCCAGCAATAAGATCTGCACAAATCCTGCAATTACAAAATTTCAGTCCAGGGAAGGAATGGTTGCAAACATTGATGCAACCAGTTCCACCCAATATCCATAACCTGATAAACACCAACAAGAGGCCTGCAGGATTGACTTGCCACATAAAGTATGGAAGAGGACTAATGGAATACAAATAGGCTTTGGCAGCTGTGCAGACCTGTTGTTTAAATGGGGCAAAATACCAGGAACGGAATGCGACTGTGGTGCAGCCTGCCAAACTATTTCCCATCTGTCACAGGAATATGAGCGTCATGCTTTCCAGGGAGATGTGGTGGAGCTCTTTGAACTCTCCCCAGCTGCGATTGAGTGGATTGAAAATTTAGATATTAGTATTTAGGGGGAGTGCCCAATCGGTTTGCATACCCATTGTATCAACTTGGTTCTGTATTTTACATTATTATATGCTTCCTGTGTGTAATGCTGCCATACCATAAAGTCAAGGAACAATGGTATTGACCTCACACTAATTAGAGCTGTATTTTTTAATGAGCTGTATTAATCAATAAAGTGTTTGATTTATTAGTTTCTGGCAGTGTTGCCTGTGATTCCCCTTAGCCTGCACAATGTAAGTTAAGTTGCATGAGTGTGTACAAGGAATACTCCCTTACAGCCTGTTCTCACCTGTGTGGACTTGCAAGCTTCAGTTTATTGTTGTTGTTAAGCATGTAGTGAGCTGGGTGCCCTGTGTCGCTCAGGCATTGACCTGTTACAGGGCCTGCCACCCTCCCCAACTGCCATTGTCTCTGTAGTCCAGGTTTTTGCTCCTGGTGCCTGTCACTGCTGGACCAATGCTTGGCCTATGCTGGCTGCATCGACTTAAAGTAGTAAGGAGCTTTTCCTGAGTATATTTCCATGTTAGGTTCCATCGCTTTGGATAGATTTTTCATTTTGCATTACCACATCCAAATACACAGCATTGGAATGGAAATCCTAGGGATGGGAGGAAATACCTACACCCAAAATAGCCCTAGAATTTTTTTTTATTTTTTTTTAATGGACATACATCAAGGGCAATGGCAGGTTTTCAAAAGTGAATTGTGGGCAGGTCACTAAGGAGCACAAATGTTTGTGATTGATTTGAATTCTTCTGTGCACCTTGGTGTATAGTCATGCCGGCCACATGACCACAGAAACGTCTTCGGACAGTGCTGGCTCTTCGGCTTTGAAACGGAGATGAGCACCGCAACCCTAGAGTCGGATTTGACTGGCTTTCGAGCAAGGGAACCTTTACCTTTTTTACTTATGAATATAGATAGCTCAGGACAATCTCAGAGCCAATGTTGGCCATCTCTATTCTCTGTGTTATAAGCATGGGGCCTTGACAGGACCATAGCCATGGGGGGGGGATACGAGGGCGACACCCCCTCCCAAATGTGCCCTGCCTCCTCACTAACCAGCTGTGCCTTCTCTCCCCCCCCCCCCGTGCTCAGCAAGACGCGAGCCAGGCCGGAGCCTCGTGAACGTGGGGGAGAAGCAGGGGAGGCAGACACGGGTGGCCACTGGCCAACATCTAGTGCAGGTGCAGCCACAACGGAGGGAGGGACAAAGGCTGGCTTGGCCTGGGTCACCTGCACGAGCGGGAGGCGCTTGACAAGGCACCCGTCTGGCTTGTCCAGGGAGGGGGAAGCACATCTCAGCCCACACGCCGCTTGCTACTGGGGAGCACAGGTGACGGGTGGCGTGTGCCCTTCCCTCTGCCGCCAGAGGCAACCAAGGCCTCCCCCGCTGGGTCTCCAGCCTGTGGCCTTGCAACCTACAGAGGCAGTTGGGTTCTACCTGCAGAGGTCAGGTGACCAGAATTAGGGCATGAGAGCACCCCTGGAGAGGATGCTACCAACACTGTGATGGTGCCTTTCTTCGGCAAGGTGAGAGCAAGAGCGGGGATCCGAGCCAGCTTCCTCAGGAGTCAGCTCCACTGCACCAAACTGCCCCCTTGTTGCCCCCCAACAAAAAAAATATCCTGGCTACAGGCCTGAGCCTAGACCTTTCTCATAGGATCACTTCCTCTCTCAATCAGACTTCTTTGGATTGGTTAGTCCGATATACTTTTAACTTGAGAGCCGTGTTCTATTGGGTAAATTGGTACCATCAGAAGGGATGCCAAACTAGGATCATGGAAAGATCCTCTGAATGAAGTTGCCCTCTATTTCCAGTTCTGTACACAGTAAATAATAGGATTTATTTGAGCACAGTATTAACAGCCAGTAATGAAAAGAAGATGATCTGATTATTCCACTCATTATGGGATCCTTTTTTTGGCATACCCTCTACCCAGTGTGAGAGGTCATTCAGACATCTGCTCATTTTCTTCTGTTCCTTGAGCTGTTTGCACACATACATTTTTAATGTTTTAAGGCTTCTTAAATGTGTTTTCCATCTCTCTGTTTGCCAAGGATATTTTTATTCTTTCTTTCAAAGCACTTCTCTTTTCATGGAATGAAGTTGGACCTGTGGGAGCAAGAATTGATTCTTGCAATAGCTTTTTATGGGCTAGTGGGTGTGTGGTGATGATAGACTCTTTTGCCAGTTAGTTCTCAGTTAGAGATAGCAACGATGGAATAAGAGATGGAGTTGGACTGCAGA